AATAAATTTATTTTTTTCTTCATGTTTTGTCTCTTCTAAATGTAGCTTTTATTAACTTTTTTTAATATCTTGTATTTCTTTTTTGTTATTTTTGATTACATCTGATAGAATATTTTTTATAGGATCTTCTTTGTCTTTTTTTACTTTTTTCTTTTCTTTTGCCTTTTTTTTTACTCTGCAAAGTTTTGTTCTGTGTTTGCTATTTCTATCTGTTTATTTTTAATCTTTATATTTTCTATTTCATATAATAGTTCTTTTATATTTCTTTCTTCCTTTGCTTTTTTTTAAAAAAATCTTTCTTTTATTTTCTTTTCTAAGCTTTTCTATTTGTATTTTTTCTTCTTATATTTTTATTACTTCTTCTATTTTGCTAACTTCTTTTTCAATTTCTTCTTTGTATATTTTAGCTATATATTTAATTAATTTAGGATTCTGATTTATCTATTTTGCTTTAATCAACTACTTTTCTATTTCTTCTTCTAATTTTAATAATTAGTCTACTATATACTATTAATTCTAATATTATAATCATATTTATATTTTCTATTATTAAGATTTTGGCTATATACTCTATATCATTTGCTTTACTGACTGAAATTTCTTTAGTAAGCTTTTTTAGTTATACATCTATTATATACCTTGCTACTGCAGTGTATTTATTCTATACAAAATCAAAAAAGTTTATCTTTGTTATATTCTGATCTCTGTTACTTTCTGTACTATATTTTAAATTTAGATCTTTATTCAATTGATAATCTATCTGGTTTTCTCAAATATTTTATTTGAACTTGAGTTTTTGCTTTTTTTTTTTTTTACAAGTATATTTTGATGAAGGTATATTTGACCAACTTGAGCTTTTACTATATTACATGTGATTTTATTTACTTATATATTACTTTACATAGCTTTTTGTTGTTTTGTTTGTTTTTTTTTGTTTGTATTTATTTATATATTTGCATATATATATTTGTGTTACTAGATGTGATCTGCATTCAAGATTGAAAATATTGTCTACTTTTCACAAGAAATTTTTTTAAAATTTTAATTTTCTTTACTAGCCTTTTATATTAAAACTGATATTTATATGGTAAATTTTTAGAATTAGCAATAACTTTTAATCTATTGGTTTATTTTAAATAATTTTATTATCAAAATAATCACCTCAATGAGATGATTCTAACAAGTTTAAAATCATCAAAATTCAATCACAAGTTCTTAAAATTACTATAGATTAAATAAAATTTTAACAATAAAATTAATAATTCAACCAATAAATTGCCTAAAATCAATATTCATATTACCTATTTTATTTGTTTTTTAATAAAAAAACTAATGAAATGGATCATATGAACATTGGTTTTAGGCAATTTTATTGGTTGAATTGTTAATTTTATTGTTAAAATTTTATTTAATTTATAGTAATTTTAAGAACTTGTGATTGAATTTTGATGATGTTGAACTTATTAGAATCACCTCATTGAGGAGATCATTTTGGTAATAAATTTATTTAAAATAGACCAATAGATTAAAAGTTATTGTGAATTTCAAAATCTGCTAATTTTCTATGCTAGCTAACTATTATTTTTGTTTTTCAAGTTTTCTTAAAGCTTCTTGATAGGGTTTCTAGTGCTTTTGTTAAGTTTTTTGTAAATTTTGTTTCTTGTTTGTTTGTGTCTGAGTAATTATCAGAAAGATTTGAGTTAATTGGTTTTTAAAAATAGTAACTTATTAAATCAAAAACTCTGTAAAAAAAACTATATTTTAAAAAAATTATTTTTTATTTTTTATTTTATAAAAAGTTTTAAATATTACCTATTTTATATATAAATTAAAATTTTGGCCGTAGATTTCTAGACATCACATAAATTAACCAATCAAAATTAATTATAACTTAATCATGTAATATCAACCAATCAAAAAATTAATTTTATATAATTTTAAATTTGGCGCTTTTATATAAAACATTGGAAATTTTACAATGTTAAATTCGGCCTATTTTATATAAAAAGTGATGATTTATAGTGTCCTGATCAAATTTGGCAGACGTCAATTTGTCTAAATACCCGGCCTAAATAAATTTAGTTAAATTGATAGTTTAGGTCTGAAATTCGGGGCACAACATATGATTTTACATAACATAATTAATTTATCAATGTGTTCCGTACACATATTTGCCATACTCAATATAGGCGAGCTCAAAGTCTTGATAAGCATACAGCTATTTTCTTAAACACCAAATTTATAAATTTTATTATAACATTTTCAATCCTTCGACAGAATTATAGTCAGAAGACCTTTATCACAACCTTTTTTTTTTTATTAAAAAAGTTGATTTTAAATTTTAATAGAAAAGTGAATATCCTTTCTTATCCAATATTGTCTTTAGTTACGGTGGTTAAATAGTCTTTCGATATTTAATATATTATTCGTCCACTGGTGATAATTTTGGGCTTCTTTATGAGTGTTTTCAACATCTTCTCTTAAATGATTCAACATACGTCGAACATTATCATCTGCCTCCATAAAAAACGCGACTGCATTCTTAACATGACTTATCCAATAATGCTTTGGTTCATCCGGTGAATCAATGGTTGGTGTTATAGGTGCGATAAGTCCGAGAATTTCATCATCAAGTTTAAAATTATTTCGAAATGCGGAAGAACTATAAAATATAATTTAGTAAATTTATTATTTCTACTGGTTATAACAATAAATAATTTACCTGAATGTTCTTTTAAGCATACAATTTCTGCAAGAACGAACACCAGGAATCCAATATACTATAAGCGTATTGTTCTTATCCTTGCAAAATTGACAACCATTTGTAAATGTTAATAGCCTTGCAAAAGTTTGTTGGTTCATTCCTGCCGGAGGTTCCTTATTTTTAAAATTTGTAAACCGATTTCTAGAATTTCTCCAGATTTCGCCTGCCAATGGATTAATACGTTCATCTAGTATGTTCTTGAAATCTTTGCACACGCATGCCATCATAAGAAGATCACTCGGTGGCAAATGATAACAGATGGACATGAACATTTTCACGGGGATATTGTCCTGCATTCTTACACCGTATGTAGTCGGCGTAATTAATGCATACATAATCGCCACGGCGTTCGAATTTTTGTCAGGATACATCCTAAACGAATAGTATTTAAGGTTAATGTTAATCTTACCATCGATATATTACATCAATGTTTTACAATCGAATTTATTGTACGAATTCACACATATACAATATAGAAAAACTTAGAAGGTTGAAAGTTATATTTGCAATAATCAATCCGTTATATTACAATTTTGTGAGTTCGGTCAGTTCAAAACAATTGCCCGTAAGTCGCGTGGTAATATATTTTACTTGTTTACAAGTAACGCTTTTTTTTGTTATAATAGAAAGCTTGATGTAAATCAATTGGGGTATATATGTACTTTTTGGCAATGTAACGTTTCACTAATAACAATAAAATTTTTATTTATACACGCGTGTAAATGAAAAAAATTTCAAATTAGAGAATTCATAATGATAACCCACATAAGACTTGGTACGCAACCCCAGCTTTCTGTTTTAAAAAAGGAATAATAGCTCAAAATTTACAGCGCTTTTCAAATTATATACTGTGATTATGCCTTATACATCACTAGAAATCTGGAAATCGTCTGTGATTGGTTAAAAGTCATATCAGTTAATTTTATGTCCATTGTCGAAATTCTAATAGTGATATATTTTTTCAAACTTTACAAAAATTTCTCAATAATAGCCTGGTTAGTTTCGATGTTTAGAATTATTTCAAATTCTACTATTTTGTAGAATTTGAAATAAGAAATAGAGAATATTAATAGAATACAGTATTTTGTCAAAACTTAGATAATAAAACAAAAAATTTTAGTCCTGCCTAGTCAATAAGCTACAGTATATAATTTCAATTAGGAAAATTCTATTTGACCCGGGTCAAAATGACCCTTAGCAAAATTTAGAGTTAGTGCGGGCCAGATTTTGTTGATGCCATCCAGGGTTTTTTTTTTATTTTTATTTTTTAGTATAAAAACCTGGCCGGCATTGACATAATTCTGGCCCACACTAACCCTAAATTCTAGGTGAGGTTATTTTGACTCGGGTCAAAATAAAATTTCTTTATAAGAGTTTAAGAGTAAATGGTATGTAGATCATGATCTATATAGTACAGTCATCCTTCGTTATAGTCACCTTTTATATAGTTACAACCTCTTTATAAGAACTATTTTTTGACAATTATTAACACCTTATTAAAAAA